AAAATTATTAGGAGAATCCTCTCATTCACTCAAATCAATGAGGGATTTATCGAAATTTTATAGATTTTTATTTTATTTATCATCAAAATTTTAGTCAAATAATCTTTCAGAATATTTTCCAAATCTCAGGTTTAGGTCGAAATTTCGAAGAAATCTAAAAATTATTAGGAGAATCCTCTCATTCTCTCAAATCAATGAGGGATTTATCGAAATTTTATAGATTTTTATTTATTTTATCATCAAAATTTTAGTCAAATAATCTTTCAGAATATTTTCCAAATCTCAGGTTTAGGTCGAAATTTCGAAGAAATCTAAAAATTATTAGGAGAATCCTCTCATTCTCTCAAAGCAATGAGGGGTGCTTCTTGTATTCTAAAGCTTTCGAATTCTAAAATACCATAAAAAGTTGCCTATCCGGGGTTATTCTTGTCTAGGGGTGCTTCTTATATTCGAAAGCTTTCGAGTTATAAAATACCATAAAAAGTTGCCTATCCGGGGTTATTCTTGTCTAGGGGTGCTTCTTGTATTCGAAAGCTTTCGAGTTATAAAATACCATAAAAAGTTGCCTATCTGGGGTTATTCTTGTCTAGGGATGTCTCTTGTATTTGAAAGCTTTATAGTTCTAAAATACCATAAAAAGTTGCCTATCCGGGGTTATTCTTGTCTAGGGTTGCTTCTTGTATTCTAAAGCTTTCGAGTTATAAAATACCATAAAAAGTTGCCTATCCGGGGTTATTTTTGTCTAGGTTTGATTCATGTATTCTAAAGCTTTCGAGTTCTAAAATACCATAAAAAGTTGCCTATCCGGGGTTATTCTTGTCTAGGGGTGTCTCTTGTATTCTAAAGCTTTCGAGTTCTAAAATACCATAAAAAGTTGCCTATCCGGGGTTATTCTTGTCTAGGGTTGCTTCTTGTATTCTAAAGCTTTCGAGTTATAAAATACCATAAAAAGTTGCCTATCCGGGGTTATTCTTGTCTAGGTTTGATTCATGTATTCTAAAGCTTTCGAGTTATAAAATACCATAAAAAGTTGCCTATCCGGGGTTATTCTTGTCTAGGGGTGTCTCTTGTATTCGAAAGCTTTCGAGTTCTTAAATACCATAAAAGCTTGCCTATCCGGGGTTATTCTTGTATAGGGGTGTCTCTTGTATTCTAAAGCTTTCGAGTTCTAAAATACCATAAAAAGTTGCCTATCCGGGTTTATTCTTGTCTAGGGTTGCTTCTTGTATTCTAAAGCTTTCGAGTTATAAAATACCATAAAAAGTTGCCTATCCGGGGTTATTCTTGTCTAGGTTTGATTCATGTATTCTAAAGCTTTCGAGTTATAAAATACCATAAAAAGTTGCCTATCCGGGGTTATTCTTGTCTAGGGGTGTCTCTTGTATTCGAAAGCTTTCGAGTTCTTAAATACCTTAAAAGCTTGCCTATCCGGGGTTATTCTTGTATAGGGGTGTCTCTTGTATTCTAAAGCTTTCGAGTTCTAAAATACCATAAAAAGTTGCCTCTCCGGGGTTATTCTTGTCTAGGGGTGTCTCTTGTATTCTAAACTAGAGTTGGCCGGTATCGGGATTTAGAGAAAAACCCGGGATCGGGATTTTGGGTTGGTGATCCCTGGGGGATTACTAGAGTAAATACGGTATATGGAGAATTTGCGTGATGGTGAATCTAGGGGAATATCTAGAGACAAACTTATGAAAAGGTTCTTCCATTTTTAGCGCCGCAGGCAAAAATTTTTTTAATTTTGGAAGTCCTTAAGCCAGATTTCTTCTCTTTTCTGCGCCGCAGGCGAAAATTTTGAGAATTTTGGAGGTTTTCAATTTATTCGGGCCTCATTTTTTCTCCAACTTTACCATCTTTCACCTGTCATTAGGGGTGTATAAAACTTTCGCATTTCGCGCAAAAAGCGAAACGCGAAAAGCGAAAGTCATTCAAAAAAAAGCGACACGCGAAAAGCGAAATGCGAAAGTCCAAAAAAGGCGAAAATCCGCGAAAAGCGAAATGCGAAAAGCGAAACTCGCACACCCCTGATATTCATGTAGTAATATCTCTTAAGCCCTCGATTTCTCTTCAAATCTAACTTAATCCCTGTAAATTCACCGATAACCTTCTATACTACAAATCCACCTATACTTTTCTCAATCCCTCTTGATCCCTCGATATCACACCAAATCACTCAATATTTCGTTAAAGTTGTAATGACAGCTTTGTTCATTTTTGCGGCGCCGCAGGCAAAAATTTTGAGAATTTTGGATGTCAGATGCATTATTTCTTCCATTTTCCGCGCCGCAGGCGAAAATTTTTCTTATTTTCATGCCTCCGCTCTTTTGTTAACTTTATTTCACAGACTTCTAGTCAATTTATAAAGTCGGGATTTTCATCGGGATTTGATGCACATCCCAATCCCGATCCCGGATCCCGGCTCGGGATTGAGGTTGGCCGGGATCGGGATCGGGATATATATTTCGGGAGCGGGATCAAAAAAATCGGGATCGGGATTCGAAAAACCCGGATAATACCGCCCGATCCCGACCGGGATCCCGATCCCGGCCAACTCTATTCTAAACCTTTCGAGTTCTAAAATACCATAAAAAGTTTGTTTCTAAAAGTCCGCAAAATTTTATCCGCAAGTCATACTATTTTATCGAAATAAAAGGTATTTTTAAAATTGAAAAAATTTTTGTAGACTTTTTGGAAAATAAAAATTAATTTTATAAATTTTTGGAAAGCTTAAAAATCTTCATTTTATTACAGCCGGAGAGTTGTTTTTGCTTGGCCTTACATTTGGCTTTATAATTTTTGCTGGAATTTTTGGTTATGTTGCTAAAATATTATCTCCACTTGTTTTTTATTTTAAAATTTAATTTTTATTTAAGCCGTTTATTTAAAATCCATCGATTCACAACTCTTTATCCGCACAAATCCTTCTTTTTTGTATTTGAATTTTGGAAGTTGATATTTTGGGTTAGATATCGATAGGGAGTTGACATTCTGGGTGTTGATATTTGTGTGTCTATGGGTTGATCCCACATATTACGGCCAATAAATATGTAAATAGAGCTTTTCTCAACTGCTCATTTGCTTATCTATTATTTAATCTTAAACATTTCGACTTTAGTTACAAATAAAAACATTTGATTATTTACAAAAGAATATTTTTTAATTTTATAATTAACAATTTTTGTGAAAAAAAATTTCTAATATTTTTTAACTAATTTTTCAGAAAAAGATTCTTTTACTACCTTTTTAATATATAGTATTGTTAGGGTCGTCGGTTCGCTCCGGTAATAGTTTGGTTTATACCCGCCCCTTTTTTGTACATTTTTTTCATTTTCCTTCTCTTCTCCCTTATTTTCTGTGTGTATCAAAAATGATTTTGTATGATAATATTGATAATAGTTCTGTTCGTGTACCTCCTTCGCCCCCTTCCAAAAAAGGTCAAAAGACCTAAAGGAGAAAGGTAAGGAAAAATAAAAAATGGTCAGAAAAAAGGGGGAAGAGGGTGTGAACCAAACTATTACCCCCCCCCCCCCCCCCCGTTCAAAAAGCATGAATTTAAGACCCAATACCCAGAGGTCAATTACACAGCAGGCCAAATCTAAATAGCCCAAGGTGACCCTTTCCAAACCACTAAAATAGGGCGCAGCCACTCAAAAATGTGGCAAAAATAGGGCGAAAATGGTCAAAAATAGGGCAAAAAATAGGGCATTGTTTAAAACACTTTGAAAATAATTAAAATTATAACAAAAAGCTTGATTCCGCATATTTTTCAATATTTTGAACTAAATTAAGTAAATTTGGTTCAGAAATAATGAGATCATGCGCCTGGGTATAACTAAAATAAGTTTAATTTTAATCGAGACAAGTGACTTAAGTAATTTGACCTACATTCTTTTATTTCGTCAGTTTTCACATTCTTAACAACAGAAAAAACTGGAAGCACTAAAAAGTTGAGTCAATTGGAGGTATTGACTCAACTTTGAAAATAATTAAAATTAATGAATGGATTTGGGGATTAACAGAGTTATCAAGGCGATTTAGGCATCCCTTTATATACCCTTACTCAAAATTATATTATATCCAGCTTAATCTTCTATTCACCTTAATCCTCCTATACATAATTAATCTCTCAAATCCATTGATCTCCATCAATGCAAATCCCTTGTTATCTAGTCAATTCCCCCATAATCCTAGTATATCTTCCGAAATCTTCTCTAATAAAAATCCGCCTATATTTCACTCAAACCCTTCTTTATCTTCTTTTTCAGCGCCGCAGGCGAAAATTTTGAGAATTTTGTAAGACCAAGAAGCCAAATTTCTTCATTTTTGCGCCGCAAGCGAAAATTTTAGGAATTTTGGAAGGATAACGGTCAGATTTCTTCCATTTTTAGCCATTTCACTTTAAAAATTTTAAAAATTTTACAAAATGGTAAAAATAGGGCAAAAATATGGCAAATGAAAAAATAGGGAAAAACTAGGGCGAAAAAGTCAAAAATAGGGCAAATGCCCTATAAATAGGGTAAAAGGGTCACCCTGAAATAGCCCCCTTTTGCCTTACATGGACCTTTTTGTCGATTACACTTTTGTCAATTATGACATTAAGTCTAAAACATCTATTAGTATAAAACCGATAGTTATCTACTACAAAACAGTGATAAATAATTTGGCCAATAGGCGCCCAAGTAGGCGCGCTGCCATAACGGTGCAAATTTATAACTTGCTAGAAAATTTAGGGTCCTTATCAATCTTGGTGCCAAACTCTTTAGCTCAATGAGAGGAATCTTTTGATACTAAATTTGGTAAGATTCGTAAATCTTGAAGCAAGTTATGGCTTAGCGTCGTTATGGCCGCGCGCCACTTTGGGCTGTACCCGAGATAGGGCGTTTTTACAACGGCCAATTTGTTTATTAGTTGTTAGTCATATCCTTACTATTTGCTTTTGTTTAAAGAAAAGACCCCAAATATTTATTATTCTAAAAACAACAAATTTATTGAGGAAAAAAGATGGGAGGAATGATCAATGGTAAAGTTTTTAGTTAATTTAATCCTGCTTTTATCCAACTTTTTAGGCTATAGATATGATCATATAGATGGCCGTGGCAATTACATCGACCCGCAGGGTCGTCGAATTTTGGACTCGCAGGGTCGTCGAATGGTTTTTTACGAAAATAAACCGATGAGCCCTCGTTAGTTCTTTTTTAACAATTTTATAGTTGTCCGGAAAAAATTTTTGTCCGCAAAAATATTGCGGAAAGATTATTTGTCCGCAAAAATATTTGCGGACAAAATTTTCTGTCCGCAAAAAATTTGCAGACAGATTTTTTGTCCGCAAATTATTTTCAGATAAATTTTTTAGTCAATCTGAAACTACTCCTATTTTTAGTTCAATCTCCTCGTTACAGGTGCAAAACAATTTTGGCTTGGTTTTCTAATTGGATTTATTATTTTTGCCATAATTTCTTATAACTTGGCCGAAAAGTTTGCTTCTTAACCTTTTAGAGGTTCAGAAAAAAATTCTTTTTTAAGATATGCGGATAAAAAAGTTCCACATAATGTTCTGTTATTGACTTTAATGGGAGGGGGTGTTGGAGGTTTTGTTGTTGGCCTTTTTCTTTATGCTAGACAAATAGCTAAAGAACGTGGAAGTTGGTTTGGTTCTGAAGAGACTAAAGGTTAATAGAATTTTTGGGAGTCTATGACCCCCTTTTAAAATTTCCTCTCAAATTTTTGTCGATAAGTGCCCAGTAGAGCTCGAGCTGGGCCTGGACCAAGGCCTGGGTTTTTCCTGTATCCAGAGTCTAGGCCCCGGCATTTTTATGACCTTCCTGGGTTTTCCCTGGGCCTGGGTTTTTCTTGGACTACAGGCCCAGGATCCGGAAAATCTCGTCAATAAATCAAACCGGAACCCAGGAACAGGCCCAGGCTTTTCAAAAATCTCGATCTCTAGTGCCCAGCTTTGCTTTTTTAATGGCTGTGCGACAATAGCGGTTACGACGACTGTGGATATGTAAATTGCGGACAACAAATGCGGATGGCAATTGCGGATATAAAATTTTAAAATTTGTGATTTTTTAGTTTTCAGTGCCGCATCAGTTTAAAAATTATTTGGAAACCGTCAAAAGTCGGAAACTGACATCCGGGACCAAAAATCAGGATCATTTCAATAATTTTTAAAATTTAAGAAAATTTCTAAATCCGCAAATGTCAAATCCGCAATTTTCGTCCGCACTTGTTGCATCCAAATTTGCGTATCCGCAAACGTCGTAACACCTTTAGAACACCTTTAAGACCGTTAGTCAAACAGAAAATAAGACGGATTTATATAATAAAATTCAAAATTCCCGACTTTTTTCCTCGCTTCTAAAAGTCCGCAAATTTTATCCGCAAGTCATACTCTTTATTTTCCCACATAAAAGGTATTTTTAAAATTGAAAAAAAAATTTTTTAGACTTTTTGGAACATAAAAATTAATTTTATAAATTTTTGGGAAGCTTAAAGATCTTCATTTTATTACAGCCGGAGAGTTGTTCTTACTTGGCCTTACATTTGGCTTCATAATTTTTGCTGCAATTTTTGGTTATGCTGCTTACATGTTATCTCCACATCTTGAAAGGTAAATAAAAAGTCATTTAATTTTGCATCAGTGAATGGCAAAATTCTTTTTCCGGATTTGGAAACAGGTTTTCGGATAAAATTTTTTGTTCGCAAAAAATTTGCGGACAAAAAAATTTGTCCGCAAAAACTTTGCGGACAACAATTATTTCAGTCAATTTGACTCTACCTCTATTTTAGTCATTTTCCGCAAATTTTATCCGAAAGTCAATTTTATCCGCTAGTCTTATCTGCAAGCTTGATTTTCCGGATTAATCCAGACTTTGAAGAAAATCCTGTGGTAGAGGAAAAATTGAATTAGGAACAGGCCAACTTACCGCGAGCCCAACGACCGCAGAGCTATAACTCTGTTCAAAATAGTCGAATCCAGGACGCCTTTGTATGGTTCGATGCATCTCGGCAAGCTGAATTGAAACATAACAGGGCGCCCCGGATTCGACAATTTTGAACGAAGTTATAGCTCTGCGGTACTTGTCCTTGCGGTATGTTGGACTAGGCCGGTACCGCTCACTAGTTTGGATCTTTTTTTAATTTTTCTTAGATTTTTTGAAGACAAAGAGGATTTGAAAGATTTCCGTTTTCACGCATGTATTATTGGAGGACTTGCTATGGGTTTGATTATTGGAGCTTCACTTTACGTTTGTCAGAAAAATCGTGAACAACGATGAGAAGGGTGATGGACGAAAATTATTATTATTTAAAAGTATAGCTTTAAATTATATTTAGAGCTCGAAATGTACCGTATAGCCGACGGTATTTTTTCGGTATTCTGTATTTGTGAGCAAATCGGTAGGATTTTGAATTTTTCTTATTACGGCAAAAAGATTCGGGCTCTAACTTTATTATTAAAAACAGCAATTTATTCGATAAAATTAAAAAAATTTTTTGGATTATTTTTTCAAAAATTAATCAAAAAAATAAAATTATTATTTTTTCAAATGAAAACCCGTTAAAAATTTCAATTTTTGTTCTCGAGATGAAACCTGCTTTGCATCACAAAATAGAAATAACGTTGTCAACACTAGGATTTAAATTCTCCACACCTTTTGGTTTTTTAATTTAAAATTTAATTTTTATTTAAACCGCTAGGTAATAGTTAAGTTTGTGTTTCCCTTTTTTTTCTTTCGGCTGTAGTGTAGTGTACCGAGGTAAAAGTCAATTTCAGGAAATAATTCTGGACCGAGTTATATTATATCAAAATCGACCTTACTCCCCCTTATGGTTCTTCAATATTTCGGCCCTATAACTCGGTCTAGAATCATTTCCTGAAATTGAAAGTGGCACCGTTCGACTCAGCTCATCGAAACGAATCGAATGAAATTTATGTCATGTCCCGAACTTCTACCTCGGAACACTACACTACAGCCGAAAGAAAAAAAGGGAAACACAAACTTAACTATTACCAACCGCTATTTAAAATCCATCGATTCAACCTCTTTTATCTTCAGATCCTTATTTAGCGTTGACATTTTGGAAGCTGACCTTTTGGGTTATTTGATCGTAGGGAGTTGATCTTTTGGGTGTTGACATTCTGGGTGTCCCAATACGGCCAATAAATATTTAAATAGAGCTCTTCACTAATGCTCATTTGTTTATCTATTATTTAATCTTAAATATTTTTGCTTTTGTTACAAATAAAAACATTCATTATTTATTACAAAAAAAATTTTCTAATTTTATAAATAAAAATTTTTGTAAAAAAGAATTTCTAATATTATTTAAATAATTATTTTAGAAAATATTTCTTTTACTACATATTTAATATTTATTGGAGGTTGTCGGTTCGCCCCGGCATAGTTCGATTTATACCCTCCCCCTCTTTTTTCTGATCATTTTTCCTGTCTTTATCCCTTATATTTAGGAAGGATTTTGTATGATTTGAAATTAAAAAATTTTGTCTTTTTGATATTTCCCTCATGAAAAATAAGGGAGGAAAATGAAAAAATGGTCAGAAAAAGAGGGGGTACGAACCTTCGTCCCCCCCCCCCCCCAAATGTCAAAAGACATGAAGACCCAGTTCAAGACCCAGAGGTCACATTACCCAAAAGGTCAAATCTAAATAGAATCAGGAATATTTTTTGCCTGCTCTCTTTTGCCGTATCAGTCAGTTCCACGAGAGAATTTTATTCTTATGTTCCTTAATCCCTCATAATACCCACAAATCCACATAATCGCCCAAATCCATCGATATCTACCTTATTACCCACAAATCCGTCTTAAACTGCACAGATCCTTCTTTATCCCCCAAATATTTGGATTTGACCTTCTGGGTAATTTGACATCCTTCGTCTTAACCTTCTGGGTTATTTGATCTCCTGAGTTGATCCCGTGAGTTCGGAACTTAACTGAGGATTTTCGGTTTGTCCCGGATATCCAAAGATTTTCCAAGAACCAGCAACCATATTTGTTTTTTTCTTCTAAAAACAACAAATTTATTAGGAAAAAAGATGGGAGGAGAAGGCAGATGTAAATATTATTTTGTTATTTATTCTGCTTTAAAATCTTTTTTAGTTGTTAGATACAGCTATTGGGATGCCCGTGGCTATTACATCAGATCTCATGAGGTTTACAAAAAACCGACGAGCCCTCGTTAGTTCTTTTTAAAATTTTTATACTCAAATATCTTATAGGTATGCAAAGAAATTTTTTGTCCGCAAAAAGTTTTTTCCGCAAAAAAATTTGCGGATAAATTTTTTTGTCCGCAAAAAAACAAAATGTCCCCCTCTATTTTTGTCTCCCTCTACTAAAGATAAAATAAATAAATACAAGCTAAAAATAATGTGATATAATATTTCATAATTAAAAATAAATTTCTGAAAAATAAATAGATACAAGGTAAAATTTTTTGATATAATATATCATAATTAAAAATAATTGTCCATACTAAAGATAAAATAAATAAATACAAGCTAAAATTATTGTGATATAATATTTCATAATTAAAAATAAATTTCTGAAAAATAAATAGATACACTGTAAAATTTTTTGATATAATATATCATAATTAAAAATAATTGTCCATACTAAAGATAAAATAAATAAATACAAGCTAAAATTATTGTGATATAATATTTCATAATTAAAAATAAATTTCTGAAAAATAAATAGATACAAGGTTAAATTTTTTGATATAATATATCATAATTAAAAATAATTGTCCATACTAATGATAAAATAAATAGATACAAGCTAAAATTATTGTGATATAATATTTCATAATTAAAAATAAATTTCTGAAAAATAAATAGATACAAGGTAAAATTTTTTGATATAATATATCATAATTAAAAATAATTGTCCATACTAATGATAAAATAAATAGATACAAGCTAAAATTATTGTGATATAATATTTCATAATTAAAAATAAATTTCTGAAAAATAAATAGATACAAGGTAAAATTTTTTGATATAATATATCATAATTAAAAATAATTGTCCATACTAAAGATAAAATAAATAGATACAAGCTAAAATTATTGTGATATAATATTTCATAATTAAAAATAAATTTCTGAAAAATAAATAGATACAAGGTAAAATTTTTTGATATAATATATCATAATTAAAAATAATTGTCCATACTAATGATAAAATAAATAGATACAAGCTAAAATTATTGTGATATAATATTTCATAGTTAAAAATAAATTTCTGAAAAATAAATAGATACAAGGTAAAATTTTTTGATATAATATATCATAATTAAAAATAATTGTCATACTAAAGATAAAATAAATAAATACAAGCTAAAATTATTGTGATATAATATTTCATAATTAAAAATAAATTTCTGAAAAATAAATAGATACAAGGTAAAATTTTTTGATATAATATATCATAATTAAAAATAATTGTCCATACTAAAGATAAAATAAATAAATACAAGCTAAAATTATTGTGATATAATATTTCATAATTAAAAATAAATTTCTGAAAAATAAATAGATACAAGGTAAAATTTTTTGATATAATATATCATAATTAAAAATAATTGTCCATACTAAAGATAAAATAAATAAATACAAGCTAAAATTATTGTGATATAATATTTTATAATTAAAAATAAATTTCTGAAAAATAAATAGATACAAGGTAAAATTTTTTGATATAATATATCATAATTAAAAATAATTGTCCATACTAAAGATAAAATAAATAAATACAAGCTAAAATTATTGTGATATAATATTTCATAATTAAAAATAAATTTCTGAAAAATAAATAGATACAAGGTAAAATTTTTTGATATAATATATCATAATTAAAAATAATTGTCCATACTAAAGATAAAATAAATAAATACAAGCTAAAATTATTGTGATATAATATTTCATAATTAAAAATAAATTTCTGAAAAATAAATAGATACAAGGTAAAATTTTTTGATATAATATATCATAATTAAAAATAATTGTCCATACTAAAGATAAAATAAATAAATACAAGCTAAAATTATTGTGATATAATATTTCATAATTAAAAATAAATTTCTGAAAAATAAATAGATACAAGGTAAAATTTTTTGATATAATATATCATAATTAAAAATAATTGTCCATACTAAAGATAAAATAAATAAATACAAGCTAAAATTATTGTGATATAATATTTCATAATTAAAAATAAATTTCTGAAAAATAAATAGATACAAGGTAAAATTTTTTGATATAATATATCATAATTAAAAATAATTGTCCATACTAAAGATAAAATAAATAAATACAAGCTAAAATTATTGTGATATAATATTTCATAATTAAAAATAAATTTCTGAAAAATAAATAGATACAAGGTAAAATTTTTTGATATAATATATCATAATTAAAAATAATTGTCCATACAAAAGATTAAATAAATAAATACAAGCTAAAATTATTGTGATATAATATTTTATAATTAAAAATAAATTTCTGAAAAATAAATAGATACAAGGTAAAATTTTTTGATATAATATATCATAATTAAAAATAATTGTCCATACTAAAGATAAAATAAATAAATAAAAGCTAAAATTATTGTGATATAATATTTCATAATTAAAAATAAATTTCTGAAAAATAAATAGATACAAGGTAAAATTTTTTGATATAATATATCATAATTAAAAATAATTGTCCATACTAAAGATAAAATAAATAAATACAAGCTAAAATTATTGTGATATAATATTTCATAATTAAAAATAAATTTCTGAAAAATAAATAGATACAAGGTAAAATTTTTTGATATAATATATCATAATTAAAAATAATTGTCCATACTAAAGATAAAATAAATAAATACAAGCTAAAATTATTGTGATATAATATTTCATAATTAAAAATAAATTTCTGAAAAATAAATAGATACAAGGTAAAATTTTTTGATATAATATATCATAATTAAAAATAATTGTCCATACTAAAGATAAAATAAATAAATACAAGCTAAAATTATTGTGATATAATATTTTATAATTAAAAATAAATTTCTGAAAAATAAATAGATACAAGGTAAAATTTTTTGATATAATATATCATAATTAAAAATAATTGTCCATACTAAAGATAAAATAAATAAATACAAGCTAAAATTATTGTGATATAATATTTCATAATTAAAAATAAATTTCTGAAAAATAAATAGATACAAGGTAAAATTTTTTGATATAATATATCATAATTAAA